GGCCTGGGCCCGCGCCTGGGCTGCGCCGCGCTCCGCAACGTGACCGGCGCACAGTACGTGGGCTCTGGCTACACCAAGGCCGTGTACCGGGTCCGCCTGCCCGGCGGCGCCGCGGTGGCGCTCAAGGCGGTGGACTTCAGCGGCCACGATCTGGGCAGCTGCGTGCGCGAGTTCGGGGCGCGGAGGGGCTGCTATCGGCTGGCGGCCCACAAGCTGCTCAAGGAGATGGTGCTGCTGGAACGGCTGCGGCACCCCAACGTGCTGCAGGTACGAGGGTGGGGGTGCGGGGTGAGAGTACTGGCTGGACGTGCCCAGGCCCGGTCAGTCTGGCTGGAAGAGAACCCTTGGTCTTATAAAGAAACGGAGCCCCAGTGACTGTGCCCAAGTTAAGCTAGGGGCAGAACGCAGACCATGGCCGCTTCCCACTACAGCACCCTCCCTCTCGCTCCTGGGTGGGCTTCCCTTGACGGAGGGACTCCAGAGTTTCTCAGCTCCCACGCCGTATCCTTTGAAGGCAGAGGCCAGAGAGTCCCAAAACTCGGGGTGAGGGTGGGGGTCCGTTAGTACTTAGGACACTGCTTCTGGCTGAAGCTAGGGTGTTGAGCACCGGGGAAATGACCCCGCGCCAAGACGCGGAACAGATGTCATCCCTGAGTCAGGATCCCAACTGCAGTCATAGGGTCCCATTTTTTGATGGAATCTGAACCCCACTTCTCTCAACTTCCAAGCAGTTCCTTGTCTGGCTTTGAAGATGGGGTGGGACAGCAATGGAGGTGGGAAGGGCTAGCAAGACACCCTGTGTCGGGCTTGATTCCCAGAGAATATCCCCACCCCCTACCCCACCCAGAAGCCACTGGAAGAATTGGAGGGGATTGTGTAGTCGGCCAGAAAATGCACAGCCCTTCCCAGAACTGACCCCAGGGTTCTCCAAGCCTTAAAGTGGGCCCTTGAACCACTAGGGAAGCCCCAGGGTCTTAGCTTGGTGCTCAGGGGACAGGTTGAGGGCCTGGGGGTCTGAATGTCAATTATCTGAGCAAATGTGGCCAAGAGGCTGGAAGGTTGAGAAGGCCAGATGCCCAGGTTCCTACTAAATGGCACTCTGTCTCTCCCATTCACTGGGGGCACAGCAGGAAAATGAGACCTCACCTTGTCCCCTCCAGGCTGGACTAGGAGAGTGGGCCTCTCACAGTCCCAGCACTGCCCTAACACACCCACTTCCTCCTCTTCCGCAGCTCACCTTCCTTGACTCGGCCGTAGGATCAGACAAACCGTTCCTCTTGCACATGTCTGAGCAGACTGAGAGGGGAATCCCTGACTGCTCTGGGCCTGGGGAACATAGGGTGTGTGCAGACTGCCCAGCGGAGGAACCTTGCCCACACCTTCCACCTCCCAGCCCACTCAGATTAACCTTTCTGCACCAGCAGAACTGACCAGAAACCCAGGAATCCCTCCCTCCTTTCCTCAGGAGTGAGATGGACCCCCGGCCTGGGTGGGCATTGTAGAATAGGAGAATAGGCCAGAGAGCTATTTATACTCCTGCTGGCTCCCCGTGGCCCCAGGCTACCCCAGCCCTGGTCAGACACTTGTGACCGGGTCCCAGGCCCTGAACTGGTTGCAGGAGGCCGGGCAGAGCCAGCAGTTGTAAGTGGTTATGCCTAGTTGCATGGCTGACACTGTGTCTGGAGCTTCGGGGAGTGAGCAGCTGGTTACGTGGCCATTCTAACTGGGAGGATCTTGTTCTCTTTGCTTCCAAGGGGCTCTTGGGAACTTTTTGGAAACCCTGAGATTCTGAGGCAGTGGAGAAGGTCTTGAGTGACTTAGCAGAACATTAAGTGTTAGTTAATTTACTCAAGACCCCCCTCCCTTAGGACAAGTTTGAGGTTTGCTGTGCTTTCCTGTCTCTTAAGGAACTTCTCCCTCTCTCACTTACCCCACCTGAACTTTCTGACAAGCATCCAGCTAACCGCCCCACACATATCACAGAATGGTCCTCCACTTTAATGTCAGGGCCCCAGCCCAATGCTGAAGATGCCAAAGAAAAAAATTACCACTGAATGGTTTTCGCCCATTCCCTCACTAGACCAAGAGTGGGTCTGTCTGGGGTTGCCTGTGTGACTCTTAGAGGGACAGAGACTGAAGTTAGTTGCCCTAGGACACAGGTGTTATAAGGTAGGGACGGTCCCAGGTCCTTTCTGTCGGGGAAAGGTGACAAGCTACCATTAGGGGGAGGCAGGGGTCCCTTAGTGTGAGTTTAGGGACTGCTTTGGGGGTGGGCCTTCCCCATTTATCCCCCGACCCCCAGGCCAGTGTCCCTCTGACTTCAGCAATGCCACCTCTGCTGCCAGGGAAGCCTGCAGTGGGGTTTTCTTGCTCAGGAGGCTTCAGTGCCAGTATGCGGGGAACTAGAAATAATGTTGTTTTAATTATTAAAATTAATTAAATGTAATTGTAATTAAATGTAAAAAGTAATGTGAATACCTCAGATTCATTTAAAATTTCAAAACCGTTTGACTGTTTGCTGAACTGGGGAGGAGCCAGAAAAAGTTTCTTCGAGTTCCCACTCCCCCAGGCCTCCCAAGGCCCCCTCCTGCTCGCTGGCAGCCCCAAAGTTAGTGCTGTGGCTTCTAATAGAAAATGCCCAGGACAGCATGTCCCACTGGGCACCTCCCAGCGCTTGCTCTGGTCTCTGGGGACCGCCTGGGCAAGATCTCTCTATCCATCTTCTGTGATCCCTCCCAACTCACCCCTGACACATACACACACTCCCTCACATGACAGATGCCACTATAGCCCGGGGTCAAAGGGCACAAGGGTCTTCCCTCCCCTCCACCTCTCATCCCTCCAGGCCTCAGGCCTCAGATGGCGCCCCAGGCCTACTTGGGCTCAGATTCTGGCCCTGCTAGAGTATATTTCTTCTCCCAAATGAACAAAAGATGCGACTGAAATGCTCAGCCTCACCCTTCCTGGGGGAGTTAATGGTGTCTTTTTATTTTTTCCTGAGGGGTGTTGATTAATACCTCGTTAACAGCGCATTTAACGACCTCCGGGTGTTTAATAACCTTCAGAAGTTTCTCACAAAGGCTCAGACTCTGGGCAAGAAAATGAGAACCAGGCCCTAGGGCTGCTCCCCTTTATCCCCCCCCACTGGGGTCTGGGGCCTCCCTGGGCTGTGGGGGGGCTGGGGAGGGTGGAGAGAGAGGGAAGAAGAGGGCGCCTGGGACTACCCCCCTAGCCCCCAAGTCGCAGCCCTAGTGATCCAATGGGGACACTGAGTCGTGCCTTCCCTCACACCAGCAGGCCTAGTGGGGAGCTGGCTCCAGGGAGGGGGAGCTGAAAGCGGTCTCCTGGGATGGGAGGGGGTATGTGAGGCCCACAGTGGAGCTCGGAAGGGTGTGAATGATAGCATGAATGGTGATAGTATGCAGAGACATCTAGCCCATGGGCTTGCCCCCCTCCCACCCTCTCCTGGCCCCCCATGCAGCTCTCCCCTCTCCCTACTCCAGCCTGGACAACTCGGCCTTTGTGTTCCTACCCCACAGGGTGCTGGCTGTTTTGAGCACCATCTGACCCCTAGCTGATGTGCAGTGTGGTGGGAGAAGCAGGGCTCTCTGTGGATGCTGGTTTAGGTGTTAGTGACAAAATCAGGCTGTGCTTCCCAGAAGCCCCCAACCAGCGGAGCTGTACCGAGCCCCTCCCCCAGATCATATGGAGTGGGCAGCCCCTTGTGACCATGCCCCCAAAGAACTAATCTTTGCTGGAACCATCCCTGACTACCACCACCACTGATGCATGTGACCTTCCCCACACACCAACGTATGCAAGGAGCACCTGAGGATGTGCCCCTTAAATACTTTGTTCTTATCCTTGCTTGTTACTAATTCTGAGAGAGCTTGCTTTTCCTCCCACAAGACCTCAGTAGAGAAAAACTGAGCTGCCCGAAAGTGGAAATTATGAGGAATAGACAAGGATTGGAGCAGGGAAAGAAATAGAATAACCATTTGCTGGCTAATTGGCTAATACCAATTAGCAAACGGTATTCTTGGAAAAAACCAGGCTGTGGAATCAGAGGGACATAAATTTGAATCCTAGCTTCTGCATCTAATTCGCTGTGTGACCTTGTGCAAGTAACATAACCTCTCTGAGCTGATTTCCTTACCTGTAATTTAGAGATAATAATATTACTTACTATACCTCTTTAAGGTTATTATAAGAATTGAGTTATGCATGTGAAGCATTTAACAAAGTGCCTGGCACGTGGTTAACACATGGTAGCCAGATCTGCCCATTTACCTGAGTGGCAAGAGGTAAGGGGCTGACATAGTCAGTAGGAACTCGGGCTGGAGAGACAGAGAGCAGGCTTCCCAGGCAATGCTGCTTTTCTCTTCTGGCCTGAGCTGAAGCAAAGGCCTAGGGATGGCCAAGTAGGCAGAGGGAGGGGGCAGCTGACAGCCCAGCCCTTCTCTGTCCCCACCCCCACCCTGTGACCTAATGACCCACCCTGGGCCTTCCCCAGCTCTATGGCTACTGCTACCAGGACAGCGAGGACATCCCGGACACCCTGACGACCATCACGGAGCTGGGCGCCCCTGTGGAAATGATCCAGCTGCTGCAGACTTCCTGGGAGGATCGATTCCGAGTGAGCAGGGAGGAGGGCCTGGGCCCTGGGCTCTTTGCTAGGATGATTCTCCCTTAGAAGGCCAGCCCTCCAGAGCAGCTTCGACTCCTCCTCAGTTGAGGGAGGAGGGGGAAGGACAGAGCAATGCTGACTCGGCCATCAGCCAAAGGGTTAAAAAAAAAGAAGCAAGACACAGAGGGTCCTTAGGTTTCTGAGCTCCTGCTCCCCAGACACACACACGCGCACACACACACACACTCCCCACCGCCCCCTCCTCAGCCTGGCTGCAGGAGGGCCAGTGTCCTAGGACTAGAAAAGACCTAAGGTCATCTTGATCCTCCCTCTATTTCCATAGACTGGACTAAAACCCCACTCAAGATGCACCTTCAGGGAGGAGATTCATTATTGCCAGACTTCCCTGCTGCCCATCTTCCACTCACTCCGTGTTACTTCCAGGGTCAGCCCAGGCAAGAGTTAATAGAAAACCACGGGCTTGTTCTATAGGCCCCTGGCCTCAGCCCTTAGTGAGCACTGGGGCCTTTAAGAGAAAGGCCAACCCCGAGCTGAGTTCACAGCCCCAAAGGAGGGAGCCCTGGAGACCCCCGGGTAACCCCCCCAGGAGAGAAGCAGTGAGCAGCCTTGTGTCTGCCCCTCAGATCTGCCTGAGCCTGGGCCGCCTCCTCCACCACCTGGCCCACTCCCCACTGGGCTCGGTCACTCTGCTGGACTTCCGCCCCCGACAGTTTGTGCTGGTGGATGGGGAGCTGAAGGTGACGGATCTGGATGACGCACGTGTAGAGGAGACACCATGTGCAAGCAGCGCCGACTGCATACTCGAGTTTCCAGCCAGGAACTTCACCCTGCCCTGCTCTGCCCAGGGCTGGTGCGAGGGCATGAATGAGAAGCGCAACCTCTACAATGCCTACAGGTGACCTCCGTCCCCCACTCAGGAAGGCCGGCGAGGGAGGGTGGGCCCAGAAGGACGTGGCAGGGAGACAGCCAACATGGGGTCCAGGAGGCCCACCAGGGCAGGGAGACTCAGCCTTGACCAGTGGAGTGGCGGGGGCAGGGAAAGGCTTTCACCCTGTCGAGAAGGGAACATGCAGGCTCCTGAGGATGAGCCTAAAAATAGCTCCAAGGAGAATCCGGGTTGGGGGGTGGCAGCTGGAGGCTTCTTAAAATAGTGTCAGAGCCTAGGGCCCGTGGGACCGGCACTACCCCTTCCTCCCCTGGCCCTTCGCCTCTAGAAGCTCCTCATTGGGCCCCAGCTATGGGGCTGCTCTGTCACTGGTCAGCCTGGGGATAATGTGGGTCTGAGAGGTGGGGAGACCTGGGGGTAGATGGGGATTTCAGTTTGGTATGAAGTTAGTCGTGGCCTTTGTGTGTGCCCAGACCTCTATCCTGAGTCTGGGTAAGCTCCTGCTACGCTCTGGGGGTATGCCTCATTGGTAGGCCTGAGGGACCAGGCTCCCTGGCCAGACTGGGGTTCTGTCCCAAGTTGGGGTAGAGGAAGGACCCAAAGGCTGGACCATCGAGCCCCTGGTTTCTCTCTGCCCCAGGTTTTTCTTCACATACCTCCTGCCCCACAGTGCCCCACCCTCACTACGGCCTCTGCTGGACAGCATCGTCAACGCCACAGGTGAGCTCTCCAGGGCCCTGCTGCTTCCCATGGCCCTGCCCCTCCCCCAGGAGGTGTGGGGACAAGAGTGACCCAGGACAGCACATGGTCCAGAAACCATCATTTCCCAAAGTGGCATTCTGTGGCAACCCCCCTCCAGTCCACCTGTCATCTGGGCCCAGGCTTCGAGGGGAGACAGGGAAAGGCAGCTGGCTGTCTACCTGAGGGAGGAGTAGGAGCCCATGTCCCCTCTCATAGCCACACCGCACTCTGCAGGAGAGCTCACCTGGGGGGTGGATGAGACCCTGGCACAGCTGGAGAAGGTGCTGCACCTGTACCGGAGCGGGCAGTATCTGCAGAACTCCACAGTAGGCAGCAGAGCCGGTGAGTGGCCCCAGCTGGGATCCAGGGGCTGGGGAGGTGGGGAGCAGGTGGGAGAGTGAGTGATCGCCCTAATTGGGCTAAGCGGCTCATCCTCCCTCTAAGGCTCCCTTGGAGTGACGCAGAGACCGCTGGTTAAACTTGATGAGCCTTCACTTGGAGGTCTCATCTCCAGCTGAGCGGGGACAACTATAATTCTGCCTTGAACTGGGGGGTGGGCACTAACACCTCTTCTCTGGGTGGCTCCAAACCCTTCTACGTATTGACTGTGTGACTTTGAGCAAGTTCCTTACACCCTAAGCCTCACTTTGCTCATCTATGAATTGGGTTCAATATTACCTGCCTCACAAAATTCTTATGGGGGATTAAATGCCAGGTGAAGTGTGTGAAAGCAATTAACCTGATTCCTATTACACAGCTGGAACACAGTACTTGTTTGCTTCTCTTTCCTTCCTCTACCCTTCTGGGGCTAGGAGGGCAGCTGGAGGTGGAGGGGGGCTCCACACCGAAGCCAGCCAAGAAGCCCCAGAGCAGGGGGAGAATTCTAGCTACTGCTTATGGGCTGTGGTCCCTCCACTGAGGCCCTGGGGTTTAGCGTGGTTGGCAGGGGGGCGAGGGGTGGGCAGCCTCCGTATTCAAGGAGCTCTGGCCAGTCTTAGGGGTGGGGGAGCCCTCGTTAGCCCTGTAAATAAAGTTTAACTAGGTGAACAATGGCTGGCTCTGTCCCTGAGGACGCCGTTTATGGGGCTATAAATCACGGCCAGTCCTGGACTTTGGTCTAGTCCCTGGTAGAAGGAGGCAGGAGGGCGGGGTGGCCAGAGGCCCGGGGCTTCTGCATTATCAGTCCAGAGCTGGGGCTCCCCAGGAAGCGGGAAAGACTCGGGTGAACAGGAGGCCTGCCACTGAGCAGCTTCCTGGTTGAGGAGGTTTCAGAGCCTCTGGGGGCTCTTTCTGTGTAACGGGGAGATCTCAGATTCTTCCTCTAGCCTCCTCCCCAAACACTCAAATTGTGGATTCCCAAATGGTAATTTTTGTGTTTTCCATTCATTTGCATGCCTCTTAACTTCAAAAATCCCTGACTGCCTCCCTATCTGAGGAGCTTGCCTAACCTCTCTCCCCAAGGCCAGGAGGAAGTAGGACCCAGGGGTGCTCCAAACTCTTGCCACTCAAAGTTAGCTCTGCAGACCAGCAGAACTAGAAATGCTGATTCCCAGGCCCCGTCCTAGCCCTTCTAAATTGGAATCTGCATTTTAACAAGATTTCCTGGAGAGTCACATGCACTTCAATGCACATTGAAGTTTGAGAAGCCCAGCTTAAATGTCTACAGTGTCCTGACCTCAGCAGCCAGCCTGGACAGCCAGTGGCTCTGTGTGTCCATTTATGCCATGCATGTGCCTGCTGTCATGTGCTGCCTGAACATGCTGTGTGCCCTTAGATTTGAGAGATGTGTGTCTCCCAAAAACTAAATCTGAGCTTTGGCCTTACTGAGTGGTCAGCCCAGTTTCACAGAGGTAGCTGGCCTCATCTGCATACTAGGGAAACTGGGCTGGATTTCAGCTTTCACCTAGAAAATGAATTACACCCCTGGGCACACAGAGTTCTCATTTGAACTCCATCCCCAACCCACAGAGTACCAGCACCTCCCAGAGAGCACCATCCCCCAGGAAGACTACCGCTGCTGGCCGTCTTACCACCACGGAAGCTGCCTCCTTTCAGTGTTCAATGTGGCCGAGGCCGTGGATGTCTGTGAGAGCCATGCCCAGTGCCAAGCCTTTGTGGTCACCAACCAGACCACCTGGACAGGTGAGCCAGTGGGAAAGGACATCCTGAGAGAGGTGACTGGACTTCCCTGGAAGAGATTGACAGGTAGTGGTCCCCCATCAGAAGCCAGAGATGATAAGACAAGAGAGCTGAGATGATGAGAGACAAGTATACGTGTCCTCAAGGCAGTCGCATGAGGGAGAGTGGGCCTGCCTGCAGGGAGGGAAACATCCAGTCCTATTACCTCTCACCTCTGCCCCCAGGTCGGCAGCTGGTCTTTTTCAAGACAGGATGGAGCCAAGTGGTCCCTGATCCCAACAAGACCACGTATGTGAGGGCCTCTGGCTGACCTGAGGGCTCCACTGACCAGCTGACCATCCCTGCCAGCTGGGCTTGCTGTGGGGGGGGGGGGGTGACTTGTACTCGCAGCACTGCAGACAAGGCTGACACCCCAGACAGACTGAGGTGACCAGGACAACGTGCAATAATGCCAAACGTTAAAATGTGAGTTGACCAGTCTAGGTATGGGACTGTTGGCTCCAGGGCCAGGAATCATGGGGGCTGACTGCCTCTCCAACCCTCTGGGCTGCCAGCAAGACTCAGGCTGGTCTCCCCATTGAGGCCTCTGCCCCTCACTGGACATTTCCTTGGGCAGCCCCATCACTGTGTTCGTAGTGTGAGAATGTAGCCAAAGCCCCTGCTGCTGCTGCTGCTGCTGCACGTGCCACAGCCTGGCAGGGGCTGCGTGGGGACAATCGGTCACAAGTGCTCTCTCAGCCAAGGTCTGGACAGAAGACTTGATGGAGATGCTTCTCTGGGATGTAGGCCATCCTGTACCTGGGGAGGCTGGCTCTGGCCACCGGAAGGAGGGCGCTCTCGGGCCAGCCCAGGGGCAGGGGCAGAGGAGCACACGTGGTATGAGCCAAGATGTGGGTCGAGGAGCAGGTTGCAGTTTGAGCCAGGACCTGGGGCGGGGGTGGGGCCGGGGCCTTTCTGCCTCATTTGCTTTCAGTGAAAGCCGCAAAGCAGCCAAAACCAGCCTCTCCCCCCTCCTGGAGTTTGTATATCCAGAAGCTTTTGTACTTCTTGTTCATTAAAATGTTTATTTTTGTAAAAAAATCAATCAATAAAATGATGTTTCACGGCAAGGACTCTTCCCAAGCCACAGTTTCTTGGGCTGACTTACTCGTCCTCAGTTTTGTCTTGGGTGTGTGTTTGGTGGGGGGCATGTCATGGGGGATGACCTTTGGAGGAGTGAAATCTGCATGGCTAACACGGAAGTCAACAAAGTGTGTTTTCAGGTCCTGCTCCCGTGGTACCCACCTCCCTCCTTGGCCCTCCACGTCCATGTCCCAACAAAAGACATGAGGGGCTCCTTCCCCGGGGAGACGTTTTGACATACACTTGCTTCTTATATACAAAGCCTTTACCCGAAGGACTAATGTCCTAATGATGAGATGTCAGCCATGTCAGGGGACGCCGAGCAACCTCCAGTTGGGTCAGCTTTGCCTCTGTACAGGGTTGGGCCTGGCCATCATCACCACTGCCCACCACAAGGTAATGGGCACTTTTCAGAGCCTTTCTCTGAGCAAGAATATAGGGAAAGTGGGGAGAAAGGAAGGTCTGTGGAAAGACCAGCCCCTCTTCCTGGGTTTTCGGAGGGAGGGTCCAGCTGGGGAAGGCACAAGTGTATGGAAGCCCAGAGCAAAAATGAAGACCTAAGCCTTCTTAGAAAGAGCCCCAGCATGGATGCAAGCCTTCTAACTTGAAATCTCACATCTCTCCTGTACACCATTCTGTTTCTAGAATATTCTCAAAGTGCACAAACCTTTGAGGGCTTTAAAAAAAATAAGCAGGGGCCGGCCCAGTGGCGCAAGCGGTTAAGTGCGTGTGCTCCGCTGCGGCAGCCCAGGGTTCGCCGGTTTGAATCCCAGGCGTGTACCGAGACACTGCTTGTCAAGCCATGCTGTGGCAGTGTCCCATATAAAGTAGAGGAAGATGGGCAAGGATGTTAGCCCAGGGCCAGTCTTCCTCAGCAAAAAAAAAAAAAAAGATTGGCAGATGTTAGCACAGGGCTGATATTCCTCACAAAAAAATAATAATAATAAAAAGAATAAGCAAACTTTAACTTAGAACCCAATTTCTCCTCAACAGATGTGGTTGGTGTAATTTTTCACATACAAGGTGTCCCTGTAGTTCTAAGTGATTGAGGGGCCAGTGTGAGCTCTGGCATCCTCACCATGGAAGCCACTTGGACCTCAAGGCTGCACCTCAGCACCACGCCAAACCCACACTCCCAACATTTTGCCTCTGGCTACTTGGGCTCGGTGATTGTGGGTAGTGGGGAGGGTCAGAGCCTCCTCAGAACCTCACACTGTGACTCAACCAAGCCAGATCCTGCCCGTGCTCACCACCCTCAGTCCCCGCCCCTCCAAGGAGGACCTTGGCTTTCATCAGCCTCTAGACCTCTTTCCTCTGCTGAATTCACATGCTACAACACGTGTAGCCTGCCGCATGCCATCAGTGTTAGAGTTTACACTGCCCTGTGTTTTTCTCCAACTGCCAACCAGTCTGTGAGGGCTCTGAGGGCAGGAGGAACCACGTCACCACGCTGGGCCCAAGGAGGTGCCACTGGGCTGGAACAGGAAGGTCTGCAGGGTCTTTGCAGTCAAGAAGGAAACAAAGACCCTGGTTATAGTCAGCAGAAAGGCCCACAGAGCCCAGGAACTGCATGGCTCAGTGAGAAAAGAGAAGGCTGAAGAGGAACCAGGCACTGCCTTCTGAGCTTCTAGAAGTTTCCAGACAAGAGGTTCACTGGCCTGTGGAGAGGGGCAGGCTCTGGCCTCAGCAAGGTACAATTATCATTCCAAATTTACAGACCTAAAAACTGAAGCCCAGGTCACGGCTGCTACGGGATTTAGTGAGCATTCAAATCCAGCCCTAACTTCCAAGCCTGTCTCAGAGGGGAGAATTAAAACAAGAGGAATCTAAGTTAGAGTTAGGGAGCCCTTGCTTACTTTGTGTGACAAACTAAAATGGAGGTCCATAGCACATAAAACCTTTTTTGAAAGACTCACTGGCAGGTGGCTGAAGGGATGGTAGATAGCTTCTTCCTCAGTGAGTAAGCCTTGCCTCAGAACCTATTTCTGGGGGCAACACTGCCCAGGCTCAGTCCTGCAGAGTAGAGAGAAGAGCATTTGCAGCTGGGAATGGAGAGGTGATGGAGTGCCCTGAAAGGAAGGGGATAGTACGTGAAAGCCTCTGGCAAAATCATTCCTCCCTCCAGATGGTTGGCCATTTACAAGTAGCCACCTGTCTCTCTGGGAAGAGTACAGTTCCTGGGTACAACTTGTCCCCTTCCTGTGGAAGCCAGCACCATACTGCCCTCCTCAAAGTCTACGTTCTTTGAATTCCACTGCACAGCCAGTGATACCCAGGTCTAGCTGGCGGAAGTGCATTCACCCAACTAAAGCCTCAGGTGACAGTGCCAAAGGAGAGGAGCCGGAGGTGGGTCCTTCCCAGGGCTGGGGAAGCAGGAAGCAACATGAGAGGGGCCATGGTGTCACTGGTCCCCCACGAGGCTCTGGAGAAATTCTGGCCAGTCCTGCTCTTTGCTTACTGTGTGATCTGGGCCGTGACAACTCCCTGAGCCTCCATCTCTATCTGCAAATTTCAGATTAATAATATCCGCTTCAGGGGCCAGCCCCGTGGCCCAGTGGTTAAGTTCGGTGTGCTCGGCTTCAGCGGCCCAGGTTTGGTTCCCGGGCTTGGTTCCCAGGCATGGACCTACGCCACTCAACGGTGGCCACGCTGTGGGAGTGACCCACATACAAAATAGAGGAAGATTCGTGCAAATGTTAGCTCAGGGCAGATCTTCCTCAAGCAAAAAGAGGAAGATGGGCAACAGATGTTAGCTCAGAGCGGATCTTCCTCAGCGGAAAAAAAATAACAATAAATGATAATATCTGCTTCACAGGAGTGTTATGGGAATTGAATGAAATTATGTACATAAAGCTCTTAGCCAGTGTCAGCAAACAGTAAGTGCTTAGGAAATACTGGCTGATACTGTCATTGTTATTGTTGTGAGTGAGCTGAGCCCTCCACATTCATCTACAGCCTGGAAGAGTGTCCAGGTGGGCTGGGGAGGACCAAGGCACTGTCTCCGCCCCCCATCTCCAGCACCCCAACAGGGAGCAAGGCCGTCGCCTGGAGGAGGTGGAGCCGAGCTCTCCGGGTCACTGCCCTGGGAGATGAGTGTGTGGCAAACAGAAGGAGGAAGAGGATTAACATGAAAGCAGAAAATGGGATTAGGAGGCCTCAGGATAATGTGCCCACCCACCTCCCATCCATGACAACGGCTTCTTGCTTTCACTCTGTGGCTTCTGGAGCCCGGAGCATGTAAGGCTTTGTTGCCCCCTGCTCCCGGGGACAGAATTGGGAAGACTTGGTGGACTCAGAGCATGAGACTACTCAGACTGCTAGGAAGCGGGGCCAGGCTGCCTTTACCTGCATTTTCTCATTTAATCCTCATGGCAGCTCTGTGAGATGGGTGATGACCCAGAGAGGTGAAGAGCCAGGATTCAAGCCTAGGCAGTTGCCCCTGAAAGCCTGTGTCCCTTCCCCTCCACCCACTGTCTCACACAGGACCACAGCATCCCCCTGAGCCCAAAAGATCAATGATCCACTCAGACCTCCCACTTCCCTTGGGAAAGATTCCCAGACCCACACCCTACTGTTGGTGGGAAGCCCAAAAGGCAATTTAAGGAGACCAGGTCCGCCTCTCTGGCATCATTCCATAGGGTGAGGGTATCCCCAAAGGGCCCAACCTGTTTCAAGGATGCCTTAGAGGTCTGTTGTGTAGGAATTTTATTTCCCCTGTTCACTTCTCTGTGAATCCAGGCCAGCGCTCCCCCCGTGGGTGGAGACAGTGCTACATCAGTCCCAACTATGTGAAGGGGATGGACCATGATGTTTCTTAACATTAACTCTCAAGCTCTAGAGGGTCCTTGATGACTGTGTAGGGGGAAGTTCATTCTCCCACCCCATTCCATAAACCAGATCAAGGCCCCTTTCACCATCCTTTTTTTAGGACTGTGACCCCTTGTCCTCCTGCCCCACCCTGCTCAGCCCCTCACATCCTCTCACTTGCCCTCTGCTGGCCTTATTCCAGCTCCAGGATGTCTCTCCTGAGGTGCAGTGACAAGACCTCCCACCTCTATCATTCAGGGTCCCAACAGGAAACGGAGAACACAATGAACATAAGATATATTTACAAATGGGTTGGTACAAGAGACCCCCAAGGGATAGTGCTGTAATCTGGGGCTAGTATCAGTAGAGCTGTTACCATCTCTACCCAAGGGAAGGGAGTGGGATCTGTTACCAGAACCCAGAAGGAGGAAGAAGTCAAGTGACAAAACGACACAGCTGGGCCGGGTGACCAGGAGGGAGCGAGAAGATCACGTACCCTCACCTCACTCTCCCCCCGCCCCCACTCCCATCTTTTATGGAGCTCTCCATTGGTCAAACCCACCTTGAAGCCAGAGGGAGCTTGATATGAGGTCTGTAATTGTCGGGCCTCTGAGACAGAAAACAGGGTGAAGGGGAGAGAGTGGATCAGGAGGGGCAAGAGGAACACACCCAGCACACTGCCCCACTTCATGTTTGAGCTTTTGTTTGGCTTGAGGAGAAGGCAAGAGAAGACTTTCCTTTTTTGTTCCCAGTTCCATTCTTAGATATTCAGCTATTTGTTGTTCTGTTGGATGAGGGAACACGTTGGGCCCAAACCTTCAGGGAGTCCTCCACAGCGTGCTTTCTCATCAGGGGCACAATCCTCCCAAGAAGACAAAACTTGGTTCTGAGAGATGAAAAAAATCTTAGATATCCCAATGGTTTGTGACCCTCCAAAGGGCCACAATACATAAACAGATAGACGGTATATCCGTGCTATTAAAATTTCATGGGGTTGGCAGCAATTAGGAAAAAAGTATCCACAAGAGTACTTGGCGGGTGAGGGGGCAATAATGAAATATAGGTTAAGAAGCACTGGATTGGGCCGGCCCCGTGGCTTAGCGGTTAAGTGTGCGTGCTACGCTGCTGGTGGCCCGGGTTCGGATCCCGGG